GGAATGAGGTGAAAAGATAGTATGTTGAAGAAAAATTCAGACCTGCTGGTACATCTGGTGAGTGGGTGGAGATAAAAAAGCAGTAATCCAAGGACCTGTGGTTCTGTTTCACTGCCCCCTCCTGTCCACAGAGAGAATAGGACTATCTCGAGCTTAACAGTAGGCATGAGATGAAGATCCAATGCTCTGATGTTTACCTTTATAGGGTAAATTGACAATTAAAAGGATCGTGTACCTCTGTGGTAGGCTGGTCACGCAGTGCAACTTGCTAATATGGAGTGCAGTTGCATGGTTTTTCAATGCCAGGTCGTTTTCAGCAAGCACATCCATACAACAAGGTACACACACATAATGCATGCAGATGTGTTTGGGTGTTAACAGTGTAGTAATCCATATAAAAGCTAATGCATTTAAGCTGATGCATACTTGCATTTGATGACTGCATGTGTGAGGCTCTAAACCAGCACTTGGTGAATTGGAGTTCCCTAGAGAGTAATAGCCTGGCTTCTTTACAGACTAAACTTAAAGCAACTTGTTTTGCCCTAAATTAATATGACTACTCAAATACCTGGGTATGCTGAAGTCCAGGGCACTAATTCCAGATGCACCATTTTGTTCTGTTATACTTAGTGTCTCCTTTTTACTAAACTCCATTCTTTTTGGGTTGCTTGCCCGTCTCTTCTTCTCGAACTGGCTCCCCCACCCCTGAGTTGGGTGAAGCACTCCACATGTGCAGTGTGCCGAAACGTGTGCTGGTGTCCTGGTTTTCTCTAGGCATGGCCTTTTCTGGGTGTGTTGCTGTGATCTGGTGCTTGTAGGTTGTGCCAGTGTCCGAAGCACTCTTGATGCAGTTCTTCCTGCATCTCTTTCCCCTTGGCAGAGGGTATAATGCACAGCACTGCCAGGTTCTGTCCTGCGTCCTTTTTATACTATTCCTGGCCCTTTTGAGGCAAAGACCTTCACTGGCCAGTTGAGTGGGGGGCTCTTCTGGCAGCAGCAGAGAGCACGGTGTTCCTTGTCTTTCCATACTGCTCTGGGTATAGGGATACCCTCCGATCTTTCCTCTGTCACCTAAGGCCAGGCTTTTAGGGCCCTTGTTAATGCTCACTGCTTCCACCCCCTTAGGTCATCCGAAAGGGCTGGCTCACCATCAACAACATTGGGATCATGAAGGGTGGCTCCAAGGAGTATTGGTTTGTCCTGACGGCGGAGAACCTCTCCTGGTACAAGGACGATGAGGTGAGTAGCTTGACTCTGTGACTTGAGTCTCTGGCATCTAATGAGGATAAGGCCTTTAGTTCACTGGGTGTTACAGATGTATCTTCTGCGTACTGTCTGCAGCTTGTGACACAAGCTGAAACCATCCTTGGGCTGGGTTCTCTGTGGTCTCAGCACTGCTGAGCACTTCTGATTGAATGTGGATGTGGCTTTTTTGATGCACAAGGAATATCATCTGTGCTTCAAGCCCTGGCTCAGCAGAAAGTTGACAAACACTTGGAATGAATTTGACCTTTGTTTTGCTGTGGCAGCTGTGATCAAGGATGTGATGGGTTAGTTGCAAAACTTGGACCTTTTGGTATTTGTGGGGCAGCTATGATGAGTTTCCTGAAGGAGTACGGCAGAGGTTTTCATGCATCTCTCCTGGTCACAAGGAAAAAAAGCTGTCTCCTTTCTGAGCATAGCAACAGGAGCTGTGGAGCTGAAGCTGCAGCTCAGATGCTGGCTCCTTCTGACTTTGGATAAATTGCTTAACTTCTTCAGGATTCAGTTGTTAAATCTGCAAAGCAGGAATATCTTTTTAAATGTTTTTATATTGAACATGCCAGTTAACATATTTGTAAAATTGTTTGAATTGTGAATGGTTAGAGTACTGCTGATCAAAAGTATGTGTGGAATATCACTGATAGGAACATGGACCCGTTCTGCAGAGTTGTGTGAAAATCTTGAATATTAGGAATTCTGGCATTGTGCTGTGGTGTCTTTCTGCTTCAGTGGGAAATGATATGAGCAGACAGAATTGTCCCAGCTGAAATTATCATTGTCAACAGTGTGTTGCTTCCTGTGCAAGACAAAGGTAGATAATTGTCTTTTCTGATTACTTTGAAAAGAGAAAGGATAGCTGGATGGTTTTGGTAAGGACATAATTGAAAGGATTAGCCCCACTCAGTGTGCTGGGGGATGAAAAATGTCTGGTATGATGTAGTCATGCATCCCGAGTTGATCGGGGTTTCTGATTGCAAATAAAGAAACTGCTCTGCCCCTTACTGTGGTCTGTGTGCCTCAGGCGCTCTGCGGCACACAGTGGTGTGCCTGGGAGCTACAGCTAGGCCTGGCTTCTTGTCTAGCTCATGTCAGTGGGCCTGTTTCATTCTCAGCAGGTGGAAATGATGACAAATATGGTGATGAATCAGCCTCTAAATATCACTTTCTGCATGGAGACTGCTGCAGCGCTGCTATGGATGAGCAGGCAGCAATTTCCTAATTAAAGAACCAGGCATTGAAATGTCTTTTCCTAAATCACTGTCTCTGCTACAAGACCCCTGACCTTTGTATTCAGAGTTGTTTGGGGAGGCTTCACTTTCCTCTAGGTTGCATATGCAGGTCGAGTAGTTATAAACATCAAGTAGTTTAATCAAAGCCAGCTGCTACATCTGTATTACAGGGATGATCAGAACTCCCTGTTCTTCCCTGGGGAGTGGGAGGGAGGGCTGCAGTGGGGATGTATAAGCTGTTGATAGATTCCAGTTGCCTGGGATGGGGATTGGACCTCCCTTCCCTCCTGAGGGAGGGCAGCCTTGGGGGACAATAGCAACTGGAGGTCTGCACTGTTTCCCTTCTGCATAGCAAGAGGTAGAGCTGCCTAATGAAAGCAGTTCCCTACCAGCCTTGGTCCCCTAAACACAGGAGATCCAGTGCTGATGAGGTCCAAGCAACCTCTGAGAAAGGAGCCTTTGTCTTCAGCTGAGTGGGAGCAGGGGGAAAGGGAAGCATATTTTCATTTGCTTCCTCCCCCAGTTCAACTCCTTGATCACTGGCGGTTGTGAGGGAGAGAGGCAGCAACTTCTACCTGGACTCCATAGATGAGCCAGGCTAAAAGTTGGTGCATTTGAGGGGGAGCTTGGAGAACCTTGAGCATGGGGATTCCCATCCCACCCCAGTCCTGCATGGAGCTGGCTCCATCCTGATGAGCTGTTTGCAGTGCATGGTCCTCTGTCAAACGGTCATCTTTGCATGTCTGTCCCAGAGCTCTTCTCCACCAGTTCAGGAGGACTCGTGTCCTCTACACTCCTGAAATGTTCTCATGTGTGTTTAAAGACTGTACACCATGATCTTTCTTCACTTAAGCTCTGGGAGGAAGGGGAGGCTTTGTGTGCCCCACCCTGCACTTCTGTGGGCTCTCTTGTCCCAGTTCTCTTGTGCTCTGGCAGCCGTCCAGAGGGAACGAGGAGGGAGCTGAATCTGTCTTTTGCAGATGGAAATGTTGGTGGTGGAGCTCTGGGTGATGATGGGAAGGAGCAGGGTGAGAAGGTGTGCAGTGGGGTCAGGGTGAAGACTAGGCTGGCACCTCTGGAGCAGGGGAGAGTGGGGGCACAGCTTCTCCCTGCCCTGTCCTGCGAGCCAGGACCCGGAGTCTGCAGAATGAAGACATCTGGACCCCATTAGTGAAATACCAGTCTTTCAGCAATGCTGGCTTGTTTTTCCTCTGCCTCTGAAGAAAGGAACTGAAACTTAAAATGTCTTAAAGGGCCCAGCATTACATGTTAGCAGGGATATATGGCTGTTGATGCTCTGGAGGGGCCTGAAGGAGTGTGCTGGGGAATGGGAGGGGAAGGAAAGAGCAGGCCAGGCGGGGGTGGAAAGTTGGCTCCCCACTCTGCCTTGCTGCCAAGAGCATGTGTGTGTGCTCCTGGGCTCTGTTTTTCTTCCTGTCTCCTTTTCAATGAGTCAAACACTGGCCCCATGGAGAGCGGCCCCACAGAAAGCTGGCCTCCCAAGACCTGGAGACCCACCCTTCTGAGGTACCTGCACCTCCTGAACCCTGTGGGATCATGCTGCGGGCCAGCGGTGGGAGGGAGAGGTGGGGAGGAGCCTGCTCTGGCTGCTGGCAATATAGAGTGAGGTCTCCTTGCTCAGGGAGGCCACAGTGTCCTCAGGGCTGGAGCAGCAGCACAGTGCACTCTTAACTGCTCAGCAAGCACCATAGTGGACACGATACAAGAACTTGATTTGAATAGTCCTTCTGCCTGAATCCCTTATGAAATGCATAGTGCCCGCTTCTCTGCAGTGCTTTCCCTCCTGCTGGAAAAGAGGGTCTGTGAGCTGGGCTAGCGCTGCTGGTGATGGGGACCTTGTAGGGGAACTGCAGTGGGCACTGTGCTCAGTGGTTCCCATCAGTAAAGCTTACTGCCTGCTGGAGGGGACCCCTGTGCTCTCTGCTCTGCAAGGGTGACTGTTTCTGCTGGAGTGCCTGTGACTGTGCTACTGTGTGCTGCAGTGTTTGTACAGCTGGGTGGATGGTTATATCTGCTGTTGCCTTTGGGAATTTGTGTGCATGTACAATACAGATGGGACCTTCTGTCCTTACTCAGGTAAATCGCATACGAGAAATCTTGGGCTTGTAAGAACAGGTGACTACATGAAAAAAAAAAAAGGCCTTATTTGCTTATGTGAAAGTATTTGTGTGTTGCATGCAATGTCAGTGCATTTGAGTCCCGTGTGCGTACAGGAGGGGTGGGCACAGAGTTTTAGGTACTTTCAGGTGCATCAGGGAGTGCTTCGTATTCTTTATGCATCACGTTGATTCCCGCTGCATCAGTTGTGCTTGAGCTCTTTCTCTGTCTTCATGCCTTCTCTTTTTGCTCAAAGTACAAAGGTACTCTCTCTTCTTCTGGGGAAGATTTGACCTTATTGACAGTCATTAGATAGCTGCTTGTTCTGTACCTGTCAATGTCTTGTACCCGACTCTAGTTTAAAAATAAATACATTGGTCAATGCTGAGATTGTTCCCCACTACACACATGCACTCCCCCTTCTTCTCCTCCCTCCCACCCCCCCCGCCACCAACAGTCTGTGTCCTTGAGGCACAGCTCAGCTGGTAGAAATCCTTTTGTCTTTGCTCTGATGCCCACCAGTCATCAGAAACTTGCTGTGACGGGTCCAGCTGCAGCCAGGTTTTTGTACCCAGCGTGTTTAAAGACCACAGGAGCAGGTCTGCTCCAAGGTTCTTCCTCTCCTGCTTTCACACTGCTCCCAGGTGCTCTCTGTAAGATGTTCCTTCTCTTTACATCCTCTGTGGAGCTCTTTCATTCATTCGCTCATCTTTTCTCACAAGTACATGTTTTCTCATGGATAATATCTTAGTCTTAATCAGTCCTCACTTATGCGTTCACTCACTGTTTCTCTTCTTTCTTTTCCAGACAAACATCAAAGCAAACACAACTTTCAGAGTATCCAAACCTCCAACTTTCAGTCCTTTGTGGGTTTTTCTTTATTAATGACCACCATTCTTCATGATGTGAAATCCCCTTTCTCCAGTCACCTTTCTCTGCTACCTGAGAAGGCAGGATCAAGCAAAGCACAGTGCAGCTGTAACTCTGCCAGGCCCATGTGTCTATCTCTGCATTTTATGGCAAAGTTTAGCATGTGAAACGCAAGCCATCCTGAACACAGCTACCCCTGGGACAAGTGCATGAAGCTGAAAGAAATAACGTCTAAAAAGGGGATGAGAGAGATGGAGGAGGAATAAGAGGGTTGTGAGTAGGCTGGTGGGACAGGCAGGTAAAAGCGATCATCAAGCATGGCTCCAAAGAGTTACATCCTCCCAGGCTGAGGGATGAGTGGACTTTGCATGCAGCTTTCCCCACAGCCCGCCCTCTCCAAGCATGTCCCTCTGCCGTGCAGGTGTTGCCGTCCCCGTGCAGCACTGGCAGTGTGTGGTGTATCCCAGCACAGCCTAACCAATGTGCAGACTACTGTACAATCTCGTAGTCCTGAACAGGTAGTCTGAACACTGGGCAGACGGAGTGGAGCCTCTGCGATCTGCTCTCCGGCTATCAGCAGCTCATTAGTCCTTTCCCCTCCCTGCTTTTGGGACGGGGTTTTAGGGGCAGAGATGGGGTGAAAGAAAGTCCAAGTCCTGATTGAAGAAACATCCTCCTCTGGCAGCTGGGAAGAAGAAATGTTGCTCTCTGCATGTTTCCAATTTGGAGCAAGCTTCCAAGCTCCTTCCTCTTCCAGTG